CCAATAGCCAAACAGTATAAAGTTAGGCAGGAAGGCCAGACTAGGAAAATACAGAGAGTAAGAAGGGCAGAGTCAGAGAAGTTGCCAGCAGGACACAGAGGGAACAGGAGATGAACATGCCATGCTAATAAAGGTACTGCCACATGGCACAGAGTAAATAAGGAATATGTGTTAATTTAAAATGTAAGAGTTAGCTAGTAACAAGCCTGATCTTTTGGCAGAGCATTTATAATTTATAGTAAGTCTTTGAGTCAGTTATTTGGGAAGCAGCTGCCAGTTATTTGGGAGCAGGCAGTCAGGACAGGAAAACTCTGCCTACAAGTGGCCATGTGCTCATGTATCATATACTCCAGCCCATCAAACTGCTTTTTTGAAACTGCCTCCTTGCTAATTCTGGTCAGGGACCTTGGTCTTAAGGCTTGTTCTGCTGTCTTTCTGCACTTCTTTGAAGATGTTTACAGGCAACTTTCCACTCTATGCTTCAAAGGCACCTAAGTTGTAACCTTTGATGTGGAAATGCTCAGAGCAGGGATCTGAGAAGCAGTCTCCCCACTTAAGAGGGCACTGACAGCCATTGTGTTCTCTTCACTGATGGGCCCCTGCATACTTCAGGAATGGTCTCTCCCTGAATGTAGTCTGCCACATCCTGGTGTCCTAAGCAGGAGACACACTCAGTGAGCTCCACCCTCCTCAAGAGCAGGGAGTCTTAAATGAAAGCTTCATGAAAAAACTGGCATCAAAGGAATCATTGACAGCAGTTGATTATGATGCCAGAAACCACCTTGTATTTTTCTTAAACACATGGCAATGTCCTCTTATCTGGACTTTTATTTACAACTAAATATTTGACATTCATGACTAATACTTAAATCCTTAAAATGGGGATGATTTGTGAGCTTAACCTTGGGAAGAGCAATTCAGGAAGAGGAGCTAAACAGAACATTTCAATTTGAAGTCAGGACTTGAGAGAAATAATCCAAGGTACTTAGGTATGTTAGTAACCCAAACAGAAAAGGAATAGTTAGGGCCCTGAGGTGCCCGTTACAGATGAAAGAACACCTACTGGTTGACAGGTAAAATATATGAGGCAAGAGTGCTGCTGCCCCAGGTTTGCTTCTACTGATGGAAGCGGATGCAGAGATCCACAGCCAGGCCCCAGGTGGAGCTCCGGGAGTCCAGCGAGAAAGAGGAGGGATTGTATGAGCGAGAATTGTTGAGACCATGATTGGAAAAAGCACAAGGACAAATAGCCAAACAAGTGGAAACACATGAACTCTGAACCAATCGCTGAGGAGTCCCCAACTGGATCAGGCCCTCTGGATAAGTGAGACAGTTGATTAGCTTGAACTGTTTGGGAGGCATCCAGACAGTGGGACCAGGACCTGTCCTTAGTGCATGAGCTGGCTGTTTGGAATCTGGGGCCTACGCAGGGACACTTTGCTCAGCCTAAGTGAAGGGAGGAGGGGACTGGACCTGCCTTGACTGAATCTGCCAGACTGAGCTGAATCCTCAGGGGAGTCCTTGCCCTGAAGGAGATGGGAATGGGGAGGGTGGGCTGGGGGGAAGGCAAGGGGGGCGGGAGGGGGGAGGACAGGGGAATCCGTGGCTGATATGTAAAATTAAATTAAATTATAAAATAAAAAAGCACAAAAAAAATTTTTTTTAATTTAAAAAAAGAATTACAATAAGTGATCCTTCCACAGGCAACGTGATCCAGCCACAGTCAAAAACCGTGGCTGGTAGGTAATATACTACTCCGTAAAAAACATAATTAGAGTAAACACACACTTTGCATAAATTATGTAAATATAATTGCTACATGTAAATTAGCATTTCAGTTTGTGTTGTAATGATTAGGAATTCTGAGTCAATGAGATGCCTTACTTTGGAGGAGAGAGATGTTCCAACTTGACACAGAAAACCTCCAAGGAGAGACAGAATGTGTTGTTTACATTTTTGTTGTTGCTATAACACAGTAACAGATATAACTTAGGAGAGCGGGGATTTCCGGCTCATGACTAAGGATTACAGGACCAAGGAATACTTGGTGGGAAAGGCGTGTTAGGGAAGGCATGGTGGTGAAAATATCTCTAGTCTGTGGCAACTGGAGGATGAGGCTGCTTGCTCCCATTTCAGTTGATCAAAAAGCACAGTACTGCAATGGGAAGCATGCCTGGCCTATAACCCTTAAAGATAGCTCTGTACCCAGAATCCGACTTCATCCAACAAAGCCCTCAGCCTCCTGAAAGCATGTGCTAGCTAAGGACCAGGTGCTCACAGCATAGACTGTGGCAGATATTTCACATTCAAACCTCGAGACAAGGCCCATAAAGCAGAATGGCCAAATAGAGGTCTCTGAGGGCTGAGAATGATGCCAGCAGCTTCAAGGTAATGAGCCCTGCCTCGTAACCAGTGGAGTGTGAGGGGAGAGTCCCCCCAAGCCAAGCTTATATAGAGAACACAGTCTTGCCAGCATAGACTGTAGACAGCTAAAATGTGATTAAATGCTATATTTAAGCCAGGCCAAGAGTCCTCAGAGCCACAGAAACTATGAAATAATAAGCACATGGGTTTCCTGGCTCCTAGGACTGTGGGCAATTGGTACGAAACAAGAGAAAACACATATGGTAGCAAATTATAAGCAGGCCATTGTCAGCGACTTAGAATAATACCTCCCTACTTACCATCTTCATAATCATACAAAGGTTAAAAAGAGTGACGTCATTTTTAAACGTCATACCTGTCTAGATGTACTGGCACACACTTGAAATTCCAGCCCTCAGAAGACAGAGGCAGGAGCATCAAGACTTGGAAGTCTGCCAGGGACACAAAGCAAGATATTGTGTCAATAAACATCGCTCAGGGCTAGGTAGGCAGCTCTGCTGATAGATAGTTTGCCTGGCATGCATGAAGAAGCTCAGTTTGATTCCAGAACTGCATAAATCTGACATGGGAACGCATGTCTGTCATGCAAGCACTTGAGAAGGAGAGACAGAGTGATCTGCAATTCAAGGACATCTGTAGTGAGTTTGAGGCTAACCTAGGATACATAAGATCTTATCTAAAACACAAAAAAGTGTAACTTCAGTAAAATTAGAAAACAATATTTAAAGTGTGAGTTTCTAGTCAAATAAGATAAACAAATTCAGAATATCATGTGACTACCATAATGAAAAATATATGACTATATAAATAAATATGTGCATATTTAACCCAAAAAAGAAGGCATCAAAGAAGATAAACAAAGAACTATTGAAAAAATAAGAAAAGACCCAACAGAATTTTCTTTTTTTAGTGTTTTAGTTCTAATACATAATGGAGAGTTCTAGTCTGCTCCTTTCCATTTGGCACTCTGTAGAACTGTGATACCTGGATGGGCATCTCTTTCATTAGGTTTGGAAATTTTCTGCTATGAATTAAAAATATTCTCTATGCCCTTGGTGTCTTATTCTTCTCCTTCTTCTATGACCATAATTCAGAGGTTTGTGGCTTTTTTAAAATAACTTTCCCCTGTTTTGATTGTGTTTCCTTTCCTAGACCCAATTCCTCTACTTCATCTTCTAGCCTCACATACTGTTTTCTATATGACCCATCCTACTGAGGAGGCTCTCCACTGGTGTTTTTATTTGGTGTACTACATTTTTTTATTTCTAGCATTATTTTAGTCTGAGTTTCTTGAGTGTCAACCCACCCTAGTCAGTGAGGCTAAGTTTCTGCAGATTGAAGGAAATGCCATAGGTCTGCATGAGGTAGCCAGAGGACTCCAAGTCCTTGAGCTCAAGAATAGTGCAAACAAAGCCCTTCTCACTTTTACTATTAAAGCAAGCAAAACATGAGATGTTTACAGTTAGCTTAAGAGAATACAAGGACAGCGAGGGAATACACTTGATGGTATGTCTTACCATCTTTGATTGTGTGAAAAGAGCCAAGAATATTTCTCCCAGGCCTTTGCCTTTCCCACAGAAATAATGTGGACATACCAGGGCATTCTCTTCATGTCCTTGATTTCAAGTACATTTGCTTATCATAGCTTATGCAATTCTCTCTAAAAGGCCACCTTGAGGGAAGAACATTTTGTATTCTGCTCCATCCATAGTTCACAGCCTTCTTTTTTCTTTTCTTTTTTATTAAGAAAATTTTTATTCATTTTACATACCAATCAAAGATACACCTCTTCCTTCCTCCCGCCCCTCCATCCTCCCCAGCCTAGCCCCCTATTCCCTCCTACAAGAGAGTAAGACCTCATATGGGGAGGTACATTTAGTAGAGGCAGGTCCAAACCCCTCCCCCTGCCTCAAGACTGTGTGAGGTATCCCATCATAGGTAGTGGGCTCCAAAAAGCCTGCTCATGCACCAGGGGTGGGTTCTGCTCCTGCTGCCAGGGGGCCCCTTAAGCAGATCAAGCTATACCAATGTCTCCCTATGCAGAGGGTCTAGCACAGACACTGAAAGCAACAATTAATAAATAGGACCTACTGAAACTGTAAGGCAAAGGACACAATAAATAAGACAGAATGATAGCCTACAGAATGGGAAAAGATCTTCACCAACCCCACAACTGAAACAGGGCTGATCTCCGAAATATATAAAGAATTGAAGAAACTAGACATCAAAATAACAAACAATCCAATTCAAAAATGGGCTACAGAGCTAAACAGATAATTATCAAGAGAAGAATCTCAAATGGCCAAAAGATATTTAAGGAATTGCTCAACATCCTTAGTCATCAGGGAAATGCAAATCAAAATGACTCTGAGATACCATCTTACACCTGTCAAAATGGCTAAGATCAAAAACACTGATGACAGCTTATGTTGGAGAGGATGCGGAACAAGGGAAACACTCCTCCATTGTTGGTAGGGGTACAAACTTGTACAGCCACTTTGGAAATCAGTATGTTGACTTCTCAGAAAACTGGGAATCAATCTTCCTCAAGACACAATGATACCACTCTTGGGCATATACCAAAGACATGCTCAATCATACCACAAGGACACTTGCTCAACTATGTTCATAGCAGCATTATTCATAAAAGTTAGAACTTGGGGCCGGGCGGTGGTGGTGCACACCTTTAATCCCAGCACTCGGGAGGCAGAGGCAGGTGGATCTTTGTGAGTTCGAGGCCAGCCTGGTCTACAGAGCGAGATCCAGGAAAGGAGCAAAGCTACACAGAGAAACCCTGTCTCGGAAAAAAAAAAAAAAAAAAAAAAGTTAGAACTTGGAAACAACCTAGATGCCCCTCAACCAAAGAATGCATTAAGAAATTGTGGAACATATACACCATGAAGTACTACTCAGCAGTAAAAAACAACATCATGAAATTTGCAGGCAAATGGATGGAACTAGAAAATATCATCCTGAGTGAGGTAACCCAGACTCAGAAAAACAAACATGGTACGTACTCACTCATAAGTGGATACTAGATGTAAAGCAAAGGATAACAGACTACAACCCACAACTCCAAAGAAGCTAGGAAACAAGGAGGACCCAAAGAGGGATGTATGGATCTCCCTGGGAAGGGAAAATAGATGAGATCTCCATGAGTAAACTGGGGGTAAGAGGTGGACAATGGAGGGTAGGGGATTGGGGATGAGAACATAAGGGAATGGGATGGTCAAGCTGGAACAGGAATGAAGTGGGAGAGCAATGAAAGAGATACCATGATAGAGGGAGAAATGGGGATAGGGAGAAATCAGGTGCTAGGGAAGTTCCCAGGGATCCCCAAGGATGACCCAAGCTTAGACTGCTAGCAATAGTGGAGAGGATGGCTGAATTGGCTTACCCCAGTAATCAGATCGGTAAATACCCTGTCATCATAGAGCCTTTCTTCAGTAAGTGATAGAAACAGATGTAGAGATCCACAGCCAAACACCAGGCTGAGCTCCAGGAGTCCACTTGAAGAGAAAGAAGAGGGATTCTATGAGCAAGGGCATCAAGATCATGATGGGGAAACCTACAAAGACAACCAAACCAAACTAGTGAGAACTCATGAAATTTAAATCAACAGCTATGGAGTTCACAGCCTTCTTACACAGGCTCCCACAAGTATCCTTTTTTGTTTTGCAGAATGCCAGAGTACAAATGTATAATGCATGCACAGCTTGAATTAGCTTTAGCACACAATTTTGTATATCTTGGACAATTATTGGTAGGTACGCAATTATTAATAATACTAATAGGGCAAGACCAAACAAAAAGCACAATCTGTGTGAATCATTGTAACTAATACATATGTTACAGGATACTTATCTAATTCTTTGTATATGAAATCTAACTGATCTTGTGTGTTATGTGAGAACTATGAAATATTAAATCAGAACATGCCAGGAAATTGTTTACAGTCAATGTGATCTCTTTATTAGTAAACAATCAACTGCTGCTCAAGCTTGGAGGATTGCTCCTCTCACTTCACCCAGTTCCTGATTTATCTTTATCAGTACAGTGGAACTCACTTTAGTAGTTTTCCTGCAAACACATGTGATTTTCCATATCTCCTTCTCATCCCTGTCACCAGTCTGGGTACAGGGAGGAGGAATACTGCAGCAATGGCAACGGTGGTTGGATCAAACACATGAAAGTTATCATCACCATCAGCAGGGAGAGCCCCTGTGTGCTACAGATAATGCATAGTCTGTTGGAGCAGGAGAGGCACAATACGACCCAGACCACAGTCTCTTCCCAATTCCCTTGACAAAGCTGCAACAGTGTGATTATTACTTAGGAATGTCAACATATTGAGAGCTTTCCCAGCCTTCCAGGAAATATTTACAGTTAAGTGCTGTGGGATGGTCTGTATGTCAAATTACTCTGATTGGTCAATAAATAAAACACTGATTGGCCAGTGGCTAGGCAGGAAGTATAGGCAGGACTAACAGAGAGGAGAAAAGAAAGAACAGGAAGGCGGAAGGAGTCATTGTTGGCCGTCGTCATGACAAGCAGCATGTGAAGATGCCGGTAAGCCACGAGCCACGTGGCAAAGTATAGATTTACAGAAATGGATTAATTTAAGCTATAAGAACAGCTAGCAAGGAGCCTGCCATGTAAGTAATATAAGTCTCTGTGTGTTTATTTGGTTGGGTCTGAGCTGCTGTGGGACTGGCGGGTTAGAGAGATTTGTCCTGACTGTGGGCCAGGCAGGACCAGAAAAACTCTAGTTCCAGTTAAGATACAATGACAAGACACATCATTACAGTTAATGTACAGGTAGCAACATCATCTGTCAACAAATGAAAAAGCTACTATCAGCCCCTCAAGGCCCATTAAGTTATGTTAGATGTCTCTGGAAGGCAAAAAAAGTCTCACTGGAACCCTATTTGTGCCAATTGGAGCCAAACATTTGGGGTCTTGTTTACCGATATAACCTATACCCTAAGAGGCAAGGTCCTGCCAATAGGAGGGAAGCATTAATACCTTTCTGACACCTTTATCAGGCAAAGTTCCCCAAGCCAGAGGATTGCAGAAACAGTTTGGAGAAACTGATCAGTGTTATTTTATCTGGACTGATGAATGGCATTCTGTCAACTGTATTTTCCACCATCTATTTGACTATACATGATTACAGTTTTTTTTTTGCCTATTTTGTAGGGCCTGTGGTATCACTGGGATAGTTGTAGTAACACTCTAAAATAACAGGATTGCCCCCAAATCAGCCCTCCCATTGTAGCAAACTGCAGGACACAGACAGCATCACCAGACTTAACATGAATCAGGGTCATCATCACCATCTAGAATAAGGACAAAGGGTGAGCATGTGTTGCTACTATCCGATGATTTGTTCAGCATCCTAGGAAAGTTTCTTCCAAGGGATCTTAATTTGAAAAGGGCATTTCATATCAGATTTTCATCTTGTACCGAGGAAACCAGAAGGTTTATCCTGTTTCTGAGATGACACAAACAAATTCTTTTTCCCATATATTAACATGAACTTTCTCCCAGTCTTGAGAGCCAAAAGCAGACCTCCACACAAGTGTTCTTAATAACAACGGGCCTTTTAAGTTATTAGAACAGCAAATTGCTATTGGATAAAGGCCGTTATCCAGTAATGATTCAAAATTTAATGTGCATGATACTCTAGATCAGTGATTCTCAATTTTCTCAATGCTGTGATCCTTTATTACAGTTTCTCATATTGTAGTGACCCCTAAGCATAAAATTATTGTGTTGCTACTTTGTAACTGCAATTTTGCTACTGTTATGAATTATAATATAAATACCTGATATGCAGAATATCTAATGTGCAATATCCAAAGGGATCAGGACCCACAGGTTGAGAAGTTCTGCTCTAGTTAATCATAGTTGCATTGTCCTATACTCTGATCCCTCTATTCCCCTTTTTGTTTTTGTAATAGCATTTAATGCCACAGTGTTTGTGTTCCACACTGACTTGTCTTGTAGAGTTACATGGTATGGTAATTTCAATAAGAATGACCCACAAAGATTATATATTAGCTTTTTTTTTTTTTTTTTTTTTTTTTTTTTTTTGGTTTTTCTGAGACAGGGTTTCTCTGTGTAGTTTTGGTGCCTGTCCTGGATCTCTGTAGACCAGGCTGGCCTTGAACTCACAGAGATCCGCCTGACTCGGCCTCCTGAGTGCTGGGATTAAAGGCATGTGCCACCACCACCCAGCTAGCTTTGTATTCTGTAGCTTATATATTAGCTATATATTCTAATATTAGAATACTTGGTCATCAGGAAGTGGCACCAGTTGAGAGGGATTAGGAGGTATGGCCTTGTTGGAGTAAGTATGGCAAGGAGAATGGGTGAGAACAGAGAGACAGTTCAGGTGTGACAACTTAGCTATAAATCAAGTCTGAATTTGTTGCGCTAAAGCTTGAGAAAAAAATTCTGCACCATGGATGACCCCTCCCTGCTGTGGATATCACTCTGTATGCTGTGAATGTGTTGCTCTGATTGGTTAATAAATAAAATGCTGATTGGCCAGTAGCCAGGCAGGAAGTATAGTATAGGTGGGATAAGCAGAGAGAAGAATGCTGGGAAGTAGAAGGCTGAGTCAGGAGAAAGCAAGATGTGAAGGCAGAAATGAGAAAAGCTACCAAGCCACATGGCTAAACATAAATAAGAATCACGGGTTAATTTAAGTGTAAGAGCTAGTCAATAGTTAGCCTGATCTAATGGCCGAACAGTTTTAATTAATATAAGCCTCTGTGTGTTTACTTGGGTCCATGTGGCTGCAGGGCTGGCAGGTGAGAGAGATTTGTCCTAACCGTGGGCCAGGTGGGACACAGGAAAACTTCAGCTACTTCATCTCCTTTTAGCAATATTTGGCAAGGCAATTCAAAATCTTATGTGAACTTTGTGTCTAAACTACAGATACAATCTAAGGCAACAGTTCTCAACCTGTGTGTTTGTTTGACCCCTTTGGGGGTCAACCAACACTTTCACAGAGGTCAACCAAGATCATCAGAAAACATAGATATTTACATTTTGGTTCATAATGGTAGCAAAATTACAGTTATAAAGTAGCAACAAAAATAATGTTGTGGTTGGAGATCACTATGACATAAGTAACTGTAAGAAAAGATCGCAGCATTAGGAAGGTGGAGAATCACTGCTCTATTGGGATTTCTTTTACTGTTTGTTATATAATAAAACTTGGGGACAAAAATAGAGATAAAATCTGAGACAATCACAACAACCATGACACCCACCATCACTATTCATTTCCTGGTTCAAAAAGGGCAGGCCCAAACTTCTGACCCTGCCTCCTCTTCCCCAGGGGCCTCTCTTTCTCAAGTCCACAGGGGAACTCTATGATCCATTCCAACCAACTGAATGTGAACCCTGCCTCTTGAACCAACACCTGACTCCAAGTGGACATCAGGCCACAACATAGATAAGATTCCCATAACATTTCCCCTTTTTGTTTAATTAAAAAGGAAGGTTTCCAACTCTCACATAGTAAAACTATATGCCATAAGAATAATTATTAGGTATTGTCCAAATAGAAATGAAAGATTTTACCCTTCAAAAAAAAAAATGAGGCAATATACAACAAGAACAATTATCAAGTAAGAAATCATTCACAATTCCAGGTAATTTGTATTTGACAAAACAGAGAAAATACTCCGTCAGTTGTCCTCTCCTAAAGAGTCCAAAGTTTCATACCTAATTTACTTTCTACCATGATTAAGGGGAACTGTAACTGTATCTATCTAGTCTTCAATTTCATCAAAGACCTGAGAAGGATATAATACTACCTGAGTAAATAGGAAATGCAGAGCAAGCAACTTCCAAAGCTAAGAGAAATGACAGAAGCAGCTGGCTGCCTGTACAGTCACCCTAGATTCCTCTGT